TCATGATCATTCAGCCTAATTGATCTGATAACAGCAGATGATGAACCAACGGCTCTAGAACCGGAGCGTCACATGATTCTCTCACTCACTGACTCACACCGACTCGCCCATGACACTTTAACCCAAGACAAATAACGACCCTCAGATGATGTCATCCAATCAGATCTGTGCGTTAGATCCATCAACAGCACAACGACAGACAGATCCAGATGTTCACAGCTGCAGAATCTTGTTTTCCTGACAAAAGCCCCTCAGTGGTAAAGATTAATGCCACAGTAAACACACACACACAGCAGCCACGGGCAGCATTTTTCTCAGCGTGTGTCACTGTTGGCACCGGACGCATTTGGATACGCATCACATGCTGTTGGACTGACGGTAAGAAATCCAACAGCACCGTCACCTGATGCTTCACACACAACACACACTCGTAGAGAACTACAGTAGGGCTCTTCAATACTGAAGAAATGTAAAAACCTAACAACTTAAGGTCAACATGAAGTTTGCTGGTCTTTTCTTCCCTATTGTAACACATTTGAGCTTCTCAAACAACAACAAATGTGGGCGGGGCTTGATTGTGTCCATGATGGTTGTGGTTTGCTATTGGCTGATCTCATGTGATTGACAGGTTGCTCCGCCCTCATCATCAGAGAAGAGGAACTTATTGTGATTCAACATTATTAACACAATAATGATGTGCACCGATAAATAGAATAAACAAATAAGAGCGGTCAATTTTGATCTCAAAGCTAACGTGTGTTTACAAACAAAGCAGCGTGTTCAGTCGCGTCTGATGGACACACACAGCGCCACAGATCAGGTTTCATGCCATTAGACTGTTTCTGAGCAGCTTTCGAGTGTGTTATGAAGGCGGTGCTTTCGCTCTCATAATCAAAAACATGAATTCCAAAAGCGTTACTGGCCTCAGGCAGTGCATGATGGGAAATAACGCCGCTTTCTCTGCATCTTTGATACATTGGAATGTTGTAATTCTGAAATTATCGCCGAAATCAAAATGCTGGAGCGTCTGGATCACTGCAGCGTGTTTGTGCTAAACGACCCGAAGCGCTTTCAATGACCGAACCAAAACACTTCCTGCCTTATCTTGTTTTCCAGCACAAATATCTAAACATTCTTCAATCAACATGCATGAATAGTCTTGAAGTGAGTTTGTGCTTAAAACAAGAACTAATAACTGCAGTCAGACGAATAAACGATAATATTTCTGTCTCCACACACTTCATTTGTCATTAAACAAGACTTAATATCGTCAGTCATTTCACTTCTCCAGGAAATGCATCTTGATTTAAGAATAATTACAATCCTCACTGAAACCTGTTCATCGCTCTCATTCTTTCTCACATCTGTCACTGTCAGGGTGGGTTAAACTGTGCTCGTACTTTACTAGGTCATTTGACTGAGAACACCCTAGCAACCGCATAGCAATACCCCGGCAACCAGCCACAACAGTGATATTTGACTGTTGCTATTGATATTTGGAGTGTGATTCGATATTTCTCTGTTCTTCTGTCCAGCACACAGAATCTGTCCGACTCCAGCTGAGACATTCTGGAAAGCCCCTCTGTGTGTGTGTGTGTGTGTGTGTGTGTGAGTCTGACATCACCCAGTGCTCCTCCACCCAAACTCACATCAACAGGACTTAAAGTTTCGACGGGGATTCTGATCTTGGATGCGTTTCTTCGGCTCGACTCCCGAAGGTTTCTGGCCAGATTTGACATCAGTTTGACCTGTTGAAGTCTGAAGCGTCTCTCGCCGGGTCTCGTGGGTTCTCGGACTTCAGATCAGTGCCAGCTTTGTTCTCCTCAGACTTCAATCTGCACTGAGACCAGAGCGCCACCTTGTGACAGCAATTCACAACCATTTAATTCCACCATTATTACATGAAGTGATACAGCTCTATACATAAAAGCTAAAATAATCTCAATTATATAAAATTATCACAGTCTGTAATTCCAAAGGTTTCAAGAACCGAATGTTCTTCAGGATTCACAAGGTTTAAGAAGAATTTATAAGAATAACAAGAATATTTAGAATAATTTGCAGATTATTCGTAAATAAGGCTGTAATTCAGAAATGGAAATTTCAAAGCAATAGAATATTTAATATATTCACAACTTAAAAACACATTATAAAATATTATTAAGTCTTAAATTTTTAAAATTCTCACATATATCCATAAAATATAATAAATAAAAATTAATTATATACACTCACCGGCCACTTTATTAGGTACACCTGTCCAACTGCTCGTTAACACTTAATTTCTAAGCAGCCAATCACATGGCGGCAACTCAGTGCATTTAGGCATGTAGACATGGTCAAGACAATCTCCTGCAGTTCAAACCGAGCATCAGTATGGGGAAGAAAGGTGATTTGAGTGACTTTGAACGTGGCATGATTGTTGGTGCCAGAAGGGCTGGTCTGAGTATTTCAGAAACTGCTAATCTACTGGGATTTTCACGCACAACCATCTCTAGGGTTTACAGTGAATGGTCCGAAAAAGAAAAAACATCCAGTGAGCAGCAGTTCTGTGGGCGGAAATGCCTTGTTGATGCCAGAGGTCAGAGGAGAATGGCCAGACTGGTTCGAGCTGATAGAAGGGCAACAGTGACTCAAATAACCACCCGTTACAACCAAGGTGGGCAGAAGAGCATCTCTGAACGCACAGTACGTCGAACTTTGAGGCAGATGGGCTACAGCAGCAGAAGACCACACCGGGTGCCACTCCTTTCAGCTAAGAACAGGAAACTGAGGCTACAATTTGCACAAGCTCATCGAAATTGGACAATAGAAGATTGGAAAAACGTTGCCTGGTCTGATGAGTCTCGATTTCTGCTGCGACATTCGGATGGTAGGATCAGAATTTGGCGTCTACAACATGAAAGCATGGATCCATCCTGCCTTGTATCAACGGTTCAGGCTGGTGGTGGTGGTGTCATGGTGTGGGGAATATTTTCTTGCCACTCTTTGGGCCCCTTGGTACCAATTGAGCATCGTTGCAACGCCACAGCCTACCTGAGTATTGTTGCTGACCATGTCCATCCCTTTATGACCACAATGTACCCAACTTCTGATGGCTACTTTCAGCAGGATAATGCGCCATGTCATAAAGCTGGAATCATCTCAGACTGGTTTCTTGAACATGTCAATGAGTTCGCTGTACTCAAATGGCCTCCACAGTCACCAGATCTCAATCCAATAGAGCATCTTTGGATGTGGTGGAACGGGAGATTCGCATCATGGATGTGCAGCCGACAAATCTGCGGCAACTGTGTGATGCCATCATGTCAATATGGACCAAACTCCCTGAGGAATGCTTCCAGCACCTTGTTGAATCTATGCCACGAAGAATTGAGGCAGTTCTGAAGGCAAAAGGGGGTCCAACCCGTTACTAGCATGGGGTACCTAATAAAGTGGCCGGTGAGTGTATATAGTATATATATGTGCATTACAGAAAATAAATGAAGGAAAAATACACAGAAATTCAAGATTAAATTTAATTAAAAATGTACTTTATATATCGATTTATTTCACATTATTACACAATTATTTATATATTTATTTTTGATTTTTTAAAGTTTAGTCCTCCATAGTTGTAAATGATACACATTTCTGAATTCGTCAATAATTCATACAGTAATCAAAAACTGTAAACAATAAATAATAATAATCGATGTGTTACCGATGGGAAACGAGTTGGGTTTGAAATGGTGAGAAGCTCCGCACTCACACACACACACACACACACACACACACACACACACACACTCGCTCGCTCACTCACACACTCGCTCACACACTCGCTCACTCACTCTCACGCTCACACACACACTCTCTTATACTCACTCACAGACACTCACTCGCTCACACACACACATACTCACTACTTCACACTCGCTCACACACACACACTCACTCACACACTCATACTCACTAGCTCACACATACTCACTCGCTCACACACACACACACACTCACACACTCAAACTCACTAGCTCACACACACTCACTCACACATACTCACTCGCTCACACACACACACACACACACACACACTCATACTCACTAGCTCACACACACTCACTCACACATACTCACTCGCTCACACACACACACACACACACACACTCATACTCACTAGCTCACACATACTTAGTCGCTCACACACACACACACACACACACACTCACACACACACACACACACACACACACACTCACTCTCGCTGCTAAAATCATTTGTTTCTCATTGCAAACCCCTCCCACTGCACAGGATAAACGCCTCCGGCACGACACACACACACTCACTGTAAGGAAACACACGTGGTGCCGCGGATAGTTTACTGAAAACAGTTTAATCGTATTAACGAACAGTCAGAGAACAGTTACTGCATGTACACACACTGGGACGTCACCATCAGAACTGCTGGAAAACACACGTCAGATTCACATTAGTTACCAAAGCATGTTCACGTTTATGTACATAGTGCAAAAGACACGCCGATGAGAATCACTCCAAACACACACACACAGAGAGAGAGAGAGAGAGAGAGAGAGAGACGTGATCCGGACGCTGCTACAGGAAGCTTATTGCACTGAGATCGTGACGATCCCGAACATTTACACGGTTACACGATCTCGCCGGATCGCACTCTCATGTTAGTCGCCAAAACACCAGACAGGAGAGCGTTCATGTACATCCTCAGAAATCCTTCATGTGGAGCCGAGCGCGAGTAAAGACAGGAGAAAGACCGGAGTAAACGTGTTTAGAGACACAAACACACACGGAGAGGAGCTTCTGTCCATCTGAAGCACCAGAACACGAGCGCAGGACACGCCCCCAACAGTGCAGGACACGCCCCCAACAGTGCAGGACACGCCCCCATCAGCTCAGGACACGCCCCCAACAGTGCAGGACACGCCCCCATCAGCTCAGGACACGCCCCCACCAGCGCAAGAGAAACACAAAGACTCGTGTAGTAAAACACACCCGTCATCGGTTTAATTCAAGCGCCATAAATAGGACAGAATATTAGAAACATTAAACATGTTATGTACACCAGGAGTCATTAGTTATGCAGTTTATCTTCTGTAGAGTTCATTAATGCTTCGTTTTCCACCTGGTGTGTGTGTGTGTGTGTGTATCTTTCATTAACTTTAAGAAAGAATTCACCCAAACCTTGAATCGTTCACTCGCTCTCGTGTCCTTTAATTCTCCAGTGGGAGCATCATGACAGCGGTTCATATGAATCAAATGATTCTGAATCAAACACCGAAAAGTTGTTGTGCTTCGCGGGAGAAACGACACGAGGATGAATAAACGAAGACAGAATGAACTGTTCCTTTAAGACTCACAGAGCTGATTCATACGAGTCATATGGAGCATCATCGCACCAGGGCGAGCCGACGATGATGAATCGTTCACAGAGAGTGTGTGAGTAGAGAACCTGAGTGTGTGTGTGTGTGTGTGTACGTTTGAATCCTTCATTAACATTAAGAAAGAATTCCCCCAAACGAATAAATGAAGACAGAATGAACTGTTCCTTTAAGACTCACTGATTCATACGAGTCATATGATGACGAAAAGCATCATCCGTCGTTCCTCTAAAGGGTTTGAAGGGTGGACCTGACGACAACGAAGCGTGTGCGAGTCGTAACCCGAGTCAGTGTGTGTGTGCGACACCCGTCACCGTGTCCGCCGCGTCCTTCTCGTCCCCCGCCGGTTCTGCGCTGACGTCGGAGTCGTCCAGCTCTTCCTCGTCGCTCGCCCGCCCCTCCTCGTCCTCGGAGCTGCTCGGCCTCCTCAGCTGCAGGTTCTCCAGCGTCTTGGAGACCCAGGACTCGATGCGGCTGCTGAGCGGCACGATGGGCTCGGGGGCGTACTCCTCTTCCTCCTCCTCGTCCTCCTCCTCCAGCATGCCCGGCACCAGTGTGCTGGTGGTGCTGGTGATGGAGGAGTTGAGCCGGTCTCGGCCGCTGCCGTCCAGGGATCCGGTCTCGGTGCTCAGAGACGCCCACTCCAGCCGGTCATCCGTACGGGACTCGTCCGGCGCTCGGGCCGCGCCGGGACTCGGGGTCAGGCTCTGATTGGCCGTCGGCTGAGGGGGCGGGGACACGACCTCACGCTGATCTCTGTTGTTCCCTCTGCTGATTGGCTCAGAGTCCGGCGGCTCCGGCGCGTCTGCGTTCTCCACCATCGTCCTCCAGTTAGTCTCTGCACACACAACGGTTCGACATGTTATACATCGTAAGTCTTCATTGTGTTTCAGGCTCTATTAGAATAGGTTCTCATCTCATATTCTCCATTGTTGCGGCTCCTCTCTTCCCAGTCTGTCAGTAATGCTCGGTTTACTTCCTGTCTCTATGAAGCAGGGCTCCAGACTAACTTTTTTCACCTCCGTCCTGAATGACAATTTGAACCGTCCTAAAGTGAATGTCAAAACCGTCCGAAAATAAAACGTTTGTTTCTGTACCTGCTGTTATCATCCATAGCTGTTAGTTAACTAAAACAATTCAGATGACTAAAATATAATGGGTTTAGTTCAACTGTAATGCATTCATTTTTTAGAATTTAGAATTTCTCTAAAATTTCCAAACCTACATACTTCCAGAGAAAAAAAAAAATCTATTAAGCAGTTAATATGAATGATTTTAAAGTTTGAACATGCAATACAGATACAGATTTAACTACTGTGACTTAAAAAAGATACCTTCATTTTTGCCAAACAAAATGATTGTTTATCTTGCCTGAATGTTTGCGCTCATTGCATTTTTACAATGGGGAAATGTTGTTAAGAATTTACACAACACAAAGCTTGATTTAAATTGTTCAATTAAATTGAAAAAAGTTGCACAAATAAATACAATAAAGATACAAATAAAGACAAATAAAGAGAAACGTTTTTGAAGGTCTAACACTATATTCATAGACAGAAACTGAATAAAGTAATCAAATGGAAAATAACACTGGGTATTATTTTAGTCCAGAATAAATTAAATAGGCCTACATAGGCTATCAATCCTGATTCCTTAAACTTGTTGTTTTGATGACAAAATTAATGACCTAGACATATGGGTGCTGTCTCTTTAAGAGCTAGGGCACGGATTCTGTGTGTTCATAATGCTGGCATGCGTTTTATGCTTATTAAAGACAAAACCGACTATGTTTGGACTATTATACTCACGAAGACTGAAATTGACACTGTTTTGCATGTTAAATGCAATATAATCCGTGAAAAATAACCTTTGTTACTGGTCAGCTGTTCTTGAGGCGGATTTTCTATGAATGTGCGCATAGTCATCCCAGAGAGCGCGCGAGCACTGATCAGTTTAAAATCGCCTGAATGTTTAAACTGGTAAGACTTAAAGGAGAACTCCGGCGCAAAATGAACCTTTGGTCTAATAGTTACACATTGCTACCTAGTCAACCGTTATCTGAGATTTGTTTTCATGATTGCCGAATGTAAATAGTTTTATCTCTAAAAACAGTTAAGCCTATAACACTAGTTTAATGCTAGTATATGGGGCATAGAGTAATGACAAATAAAAATCACTTGTTATTACCACTAACAAGGCTCAAAATAGCCCCACAGTAACACAACAGCATAATAAGGGTCCCTACATTCAAACCGAAGCATTGAGAACTCTGTCAGTGTCCATACCGTTTAATAAGAAGATATTTTATACACACAGTCAACTTCGCGAATACAGGAAGAAGCCATCTTTGAAAAATAGTCTCGACCAGTCGATCTACGAGCGCCGATCCAAGTGTTAAGGTGTGTTCACATCAAAAACACTCCCTGGTGTGGCGCTGTCTTACCGTACTCCTTCTCGTTGACCTCTGAGATGGGCTCTGAGATGACGCTGCAGAAGGAGATGGCGCTGGCGGCCGACGGGTTCCTGGAGTGACCCATGTGGTGCGGGACCTTCTTGACGTTCTTCAGCGCCTCCTCGGCCTGCTCCTGCTCCAGCGCGCTCACCATCTCCTTATACGCCCTGCGCGCCTCCTCCGTCAGGGACACCAGCGTGTTGAAGAGAGCCTGAGCACACACACACACACACACACACATGAATACACTGCATTTGGCAGGTGGGTACATCTATTGTATTTAAAGAGCCCCTATTATAGCATTTGAAACGTTCCTATTTTTGTTTTAGGGGTTCCCAAAAACAGTTTAACGTGCATGCAGGGATAAAAAAAACACTTTATTTGTCTTATAATACGCATTTATTTTTACCTGATTTGCTCAACGACTCCCAAATGATTCGTACAACGACTCATTTTTCCAAACCACTCCTTTGCGTGACGCTAATCGGCGGTGATTGGTCAGATGACAGACCCAGTCAGTTGTTTGTAAGCATAATGCCTAAACATATTGATAAAGCACTGCAGTACTACAAGACGCTCTATTCTTTATGACAACTCCAATAACAGCCACAAACATTTCACGTGTTTAACCCTTGTGCATCCTTATGGACATTTTTGTCCTTTTCAGTGTTGTTTTTTTGATCACTTTGCCTGTGTTAAAGCTAACGGCAAAAAATTGACACAGGTGTGTGTTTTTATTGGAATTTTACTATTTCACCGTCATTTTCTTGCATTAGAGAAAAAAAAAAACACTCCCTCTCAGCGCCTTTTGGACAAAAATGTCCCCATTAAAACTGCCATTTTTAATCCCCGGTTCAGTTAACTATAAAATTATGCAATCTTTGTTAAGAGCTTTCATTCTGATGGCAAGGCTTCAAATTTTATTTTTTACTATTTTTTATCAGATGGTGGCATTTTTTTTTTAAAGTTTGGCTTATAAAACAAATATCGCTTTATTCCTGTTTTCTGCTTCGGCATATTATAGAGCCGACTGGGTAAATTATGCAACGATATTTGTGTGGGTGTGTTGGTATGGATGTCAGAGTGTGGTTAGTATGTGTGTTATACAAAAATATGTGTGTAGAGAAAAACTGCAAATAACAAATCCAATCACTGTGAGCTCCAGTGGGGTTTTGCTGCCACCCAATGGGGAAAATATGTTACTACGCCCAAACAAACTGTTACCCAAAGCTCATTTTTTGAGATATCATCCTCAAATTTGGAACACAACCTGTTTAGATTTATGGCTTTGATTTTATTGCAGTTTTGAGTTCAACCTGATTTATAAAATATATATTTTATATAAAATATTTTTTATAAATAATTTTCATAAACTTATACCTATATAACTTTTTTTTTTTTGGATTTACTTATTATAATTTTTTACTTCAGCAATAATCTGCAAAGGGTCTTCTTTAAAATGATACCAAACTTAAGTCTGTGCTCCGAAGCGTCACATTTTTATGACAGTTTTTTGACACGGACATATTTGTCCTCTTTTTACCTGTGTGTAACTTTTTTTAATTGATGCACAAGGGTTAAAGAAAATTGACATTGGAGACCTAGAAGCTGCGCTGAGCGTAACTCACACACACACGCGTGCGCACACACACACATATTCCCTCCTCGCGCCCCGACGCAACAAAACCGTTCAAAACCCATAAAAGCAACAATTATTAATAATACTTACAGGTTGTGATTGGAAAGAGGAAGCTGATCCATATACACTGGGTAAGTGAGTTACTGAGCCCTCCTTCAGGAACAACCGCTCGCGAATCCACATTTGAATTCATTTATGTTTTTGAACTAACGTTATTCGTCAATAAAATGCTGAGAACACAATCAGGCTATACTGTTGTGGTATCGTTGCTAATATGAACTCTAACCACCGATTCTTCACATGCTCGACCCTGGAAAGTGGCTGAACTGTCTTTGCTGTCTTCGGCCAGTATGTCTCTACGTCACGACGAACCAGCTAATGACTCGTTTCAAAAACAATTCATTTCATAGACTCAGAGTCGACTCTCACTTTTGAAAGACAGTAACTTTATATACGGTGCACTTTCAGATATAAATCTTCGCAGGATGTTTTCATTCCTTAGAGCTATAGTCCACACCATATGAACAATCATTTTCAAAACATGATAGGGGCTCTTTAACAGATCACACATGCCGTAGGGATCAAACCCATGTGTGTGTGTGTGTGTGTGTGTGTGTGTGTACCTCTGCTCCAGAGTAGTTGAATATTCCCACTACGCTCACAGGTACGAGTTTATTGACGCAGCGGCCGAGAGCTTTCCGGCCCAGAGCGAAGACGAACGGGATCTCCTGCTCCCTCGCCATGGCGATGACATTATAAAGGGCCTCATCCAGACCACCTACACACACACACGTCACAGAAACACAACATCAAACACTTCATGGACGTTCGGTTTGGTTTGGACTCATGAAGTAATTACAGACAGTTTCTCAACATGATCTTCATGGCCTTGATCTTCTCAGAGTTGGGCTAGGTGTGTGTGTGTGTGTGTGTGTGTGATTGGTCTCTACCTTTGGCCTGGATCTTCTCGCAGTTGGGCGAGATGATGACACACTTGATCTTGTGCAGCTTCATGTGTTTGGTGACCTCTCGCAGGCCCATGACCAGACGCCGCTTGGCTTTGGCTTTGCTCGGCTCGTTCTGATAAACCCGTTCCTGGAAGCGAACCAACTCCTGCAGGAGCAGCGTCACACTCTCGTCGATGTCCTTACTCAACACCTGATTACAGTACCTACACACACACACACACACACGTCATGATAAATGTTGACATGTCATCCTCACACAAGGACAATGATAACACCAGGCAGCCGCAGCAGCTTCAGTGTCAGTCACGGGAACACTCAGAGCCTTTCTGGACAACAGCCAGCGAGACCAGGACGTTTAGGGGTGGGGTTAGTGTGTGTGTGTGTGTACTAGGGCTGGGTATTGAGATAAATTTCACAATTCGATTCGATTCCGATTCACGAGCTTGGAATTCGATTCGATTTCAATTACGATTCGATTCAATATTGATTAACTGGGATATCAGTAACAATAAATGGGCATTTTTCTCAAGGGAATCAAATCTCGTAACTAATGCTGTAAACTATGGGAGTCTAGTTGTAGCCTATAGACTTCATTAGCCTAATATGAAGGTAATAATGAACTGTTTTATAGCTGTACAAACACTTAAATTACACTTTTATAAGAAGAAGATTATATGTAATATAAACATTTAAATGGTGGCTGTCATAAAAACTTGCCAGATTTATCCAAATATGCATTAAATATTACAGAACATTAAGATTATAATGCATATGTAATATGGTGTATATATTTAGCAAAATGCTCCTCTCTGGAGTTATATTTTTCTAACTGACTAACGAGTTTATGTGGGTTTTCTGAGGTAAATGACGATACATGACATTGATTACAAGCTGTTTCACTGACGTCTTTCCACGGTTGAAACGCTGATTGAGCGAATCAATGTGACATGATCCGGATTTGGATAAGTTGTACTCTATCTTTAACACACTTTCAGACGCTCATTCATGTTTATATTATTAAGCCGGAAGAGAGATCAGCGCCGCTGCTTCTCCAGAGCGATCTCACGCCACAGCGACAAAACGCTATTTATGTTTTTGATTTTCTAAAGAAAATGGACGTAATTTGAAAATTGAGACTTTGTTTCATATCAATAGTAACAAAGGACAAAGATTATTGCGATTTTTTGGATGCGCGCAGCCGCGATACAATGATCCATTCATTCAAATGAAACAGGATGACTAATCGATTCTTGAGATTTAAGAATCGATATCGGTTCGTAAAAATGAGAATCGATTAATATCGAGAAATCGATGTTTATTCCCCAGCCCTAGTGTGTACTCACTCTCTGAACCGGCGGCTGTGTATCTTGGTGATGGCCGACGCAGCCATGGGGCTCCCGATGCCCGAGCTGGCTGGTGAACCCTGAGACACGGGTGTGATGCTGTACGGAGAGTTCTGACTGGCTGGAGACAGGGACGCATCACTGGGCATGCTCAGACCGTTCTCTGCAACACACACACACACACACACACGGGAGCAGATGAGTACTGGTGTGCACCTCGCACATCGTTGTGTTTGTGATCATAGTCGGGATGCACCATACTGAACAAAACTGACATCGCCATATTTAGTTTTATTATTATATGTACTGTATGTGAGTGTCTGTGTGTGTGTGTGTGTGTGTGTGTGTGTGTGTTCGTACCGTCCTGCTCCTGTGTGAGCGTGTCCGTGAAGCTCAGAGAGTCTCTCTGCTCGTCGGCTCCAGACACGCCCTGATCCGCTGAACTCTTGCCTTTCTTAACCTCGCGCTCCTGCAGAATAATCTACACACACACAGAGAGAGAGAGGGTGGGGTTAATGTGCTGTGATGTCATATCCTGTCACGCTCAGCAGCATACGCGAGTATGTGAGTGGGTTGTGTGTATGCATTGGGTTGTATGTGTGAGTGTGTGTGCGCATGCATGAGTGAGAGTGGGTTGTGTGTGTGTGTTGTGAAGCACCTTCTTCATGGCGGTGGTCTTCTTGACTTTGGGAATCTCTCTCTCTTTGCCTCTCTTGATGCGCGGCGCGCTGGAGTCCAGGATGTTGTGAGGAGGAGTGTGTGTGTTCTTGAGTCCCGTCACTCGACTGCCGCAATCTTTACTGTGCAGAGCGCTCACCGTCCCGACTGACAACACAACACACACCAGTGCTAGCTCAGAATCACAGGATAATATCAAGCGCAACCTTCCCGTCTCTCTCTCGAATCAGCGCTGAGTGAGTTAAACTGCAGTTCCTTCACTGGCCACTAGAGGCGCTGCAGGAGAGACTCACTCCCATAGACACGCATGTTAAAACGCCCAACTTTACAGCAGAATAAACATGTTCACAGTCTGGTGCGAAAAGTGGTTTTGGGCTATATTGCTAATTTTACCCTTCATGACGACTGTGAGGTGAAGTTTAAATTATATTAATCCTTAAAGTTGTGCATAATTAAGGGCGTGGCCACTTGAGTGACAGTCGGAGTGTCGCTGATGTCACTGCTAGCGTTAGCGTCACCTCAGCTAATCCGCCTCGCTGCACGTGTTGGTTTATCCAGGAGCGACGGCCGGCTTCAAAAACACTCTTCAGAAACAATAATAATAATAAATTTCCGATTTTATTTAAATATTGGTTAAAAATTTCAGTAATTTTGTTGTGATGCGCAGCAAAACTCATTCTACTATTCTAACGCAAACATTCAGGGAATTTTTTTTTTAAATAAAAACTGTTGCATGAAGTCATGTGACCATAATGTAGTTTTTTTTTACACAAGATTAAGATATCTTTTCATGTTAATCAGCAACAATTCAATTTTAGAAACATTTCTATTTTTGAGACAGAGCATGACTATGATCATGTGAGATTCAGATTATGTGCTTTAGTTCATGTTAGAGGCATCTAATGTGAGTTTGAATCATATTTACTGCTGTACTGACTACTAATTCACCTCACATCTATGAAAATAAACAATAAGTTCAAACTGTATTCAAAGAAAAGCATGTTTGTCACTCAGTGTGTGTTTTGCATTGTTAAAACGTACGAATTTATAAAGTTTGCAGAGACTCCGCCCACACGCTCTTCTGATTGGCTGTGATTTTTGATTGATTTGGATTAATTCTGCTTTAGGGCAGAGTAAGAATCATAAAGTTTTGTTGGTCACAGGCTACAATAATACAAAAGCCAAAATATTGGGTTTGCGTGGTAAACAAGCAGGGTGATGCTAACTTATGAACATACGGACTCATAATCAGGAAACGGCGGGCTTTTGTTCTGAAGAATAATGTGTGTATAATGTAGTTAGAGTGCTGTACCTGTGTATGAGAGTGGTTTGGTGTTGTTGAGTTGTCGCGCTCTCATGGCCTGCTGTTGCTTCTCTAGCGCCGCTAACATGTCGCCCAGATCCAACTGTACCGGCGTCCTGCTCTTCTTACCGGCTGCTTTAGACAGAGCCTCCTAAACACACACACACACACAGTTCTTCAAACATGGCGGATCTGATGTTCAGGACACTCCTCCACCAGTCTCAGTCACGGGCCGGCTGAACACTTTTCTGGAAACACTTCAAGAGTTCAAACTCGCGTTCTGATTGGTTAATTTCTACTGTGTGTGTGTGTGAGAGAGTCTGGAGCTGTACAGATGTGTGTGTACCTGTAGTTTCTTCTGCTCCATGCTAATCTCGGAGTATTCCTGCGCTGTGGCGAGAGCGGCCGCTAGCGCTTTCTTCCTCTGACTCTTGGCTCTCTTGGGAACGGAGCTGGTGATCGGGATGGGCGTCTGCACGATGCTGATGGGGGAATTCTCCGGAAGGTTATCCAGCTGCACACACACACACACACACACACACAGAGGTTTGAAGCCCTGATATACTTCATAGTGTGGCATCATTTCAAAAGTTGGTAACACTTTATTTCCCAGTGTCCTTGTTGCATGTGTTACATGTACTTACCATAATAATAACAATAAATTATGCATAATTACCCTCAACCACATCCTAGAAATTACATGAAGTTAATTATTACTCAGTATTTAAATATATAATTACACTGTAACAACGACACCTTAAACCTGCAGTTTGAAACAGCTCGTCTAAGATCATTAGACTGCTCCGTAGTGATGGGCGGATCGATCCTGAAGTATCGATACTGACGTGGTATCGAAAAGGATCGATCCGCACATAAAAATATCGATCCAAATGTGTATTTTTTTTAACCAGTAATTTTTTATTAATTTAGCACGCAATTCAGTGCAAAAAATAAACTTCTAAGTGGAAAAATAAGCGAGTGTTAGCGGGTAATTGTGTAGGATAGAACCTTTTCTACTAGTCATCTGTATACAAGACGAAACCAATCAATCACAAGACGAAACCAATCAATCACAAGACGAAACCAATCAATCACAGAGAGGGTTCGATGCTGGTGCTTCGCTGAGCTCACAGGCCCAGTGTGTTTGGGAAATGAAGCCTTCCTTATGACAGAGAAACAATCGGGAGTTATTTCGCAATAAACAAACCAAAACTGTACATAACGGTTTAAAATGTTGACGTCAGTAAGATCTTTTTTATGAAATTAATATTTTTATTCAACAAGGATCAATGCATTAAATTGATCAAAAGTGAAAGTCAAGGGTTTTACACTGTTAAAAAAAATCTACTTCATATAAATGCTGTTCTTTCAACTTTGTTCATCAAATAATTCTGCATAAAATGTATCATGGTTTCCAACAAAATATGAAACTGTTTTCAACATTGATAATAATAAGAAATGTTTCCTGAGTAGCAAATCAGCATATTAAAATGAATTGTCATCATGACTGGAGTAATGATGCCGAAAATTCTGCTTTGATCACATGAATAAATTACAGTTTACTATGGCGTAGAAAACAGATAGCCTATGTTAAATTGTTAAATTGTAATATTACAGTTTTTACTAAGAAATAAAAGTCTTCAAGACCCCAAACTTTTGAACTGTAGACTAGTACTATAATTAGGGTGGTTTTGTAAAAGTCACTGACTAAAAGGGAGTTGAGAGCACAAATCACAAAATAGCTATTTAGGCCTAGCAGTCATGAAAATGTGTTCAGATTTACCAAGTTCAAATGCACGCTTTTAAAATGAAAAAGTATCGGTATCGATATCAGCGATACTGGTCCTGTATTTACTTGGTATCGGATCGATACAGAAATTTGCAGTATCGCCCATCACTACTGCTCCGTCTGGCATACGCCTTCAAGCTAGCATTGGTCCATTGATGATGATGATGATGATGTCATAAGTGGGCGTGGCTCCGAGGCTCCGCCTTCTTTGAGGTGTAACTTCTCATTTCTTCAGTTCAGTCGGTCGAGGTCAGACACACATGAACACACTGAGAGTCGCTTTACAGTAGAAACGTAAGCTGACACTGTTTCTCTGTTTAATCCTGTAAATCTGCTGCTTTAAAGCGATCTACTGTAGAAATAAACTGCAGATCTAGTGTAAACATCAACATCACGGTGATCCGATGCTTTCCTCACCGCTGGCGTTTTAGTTGTGTTTGTTATTGAGAGGAAACAGCACGGCACATATTTGCATATTCATCTGAATGTGGTTTCAAAGATATTTTAAAAACGTGTTTTTACCCGCGGGCGAAACACTCACCAGGGTCTTGGGAAGTTTGGGTTGAACTGGATCCGGTTTATTCCGCTGAGCAGCGCCGCCTGTGGCCAGATCAGGAAACTCATCCTCATCCTGAACAACAGGACAAACAGACACAATCAACAATGAACAGTGTGTGTGAGAGAGTGTGTGAGTGTGTGTGTGTGTACCTGAAAGTACAGTGGCTCAGGTGTGAGGTGTGTGTTGGGGGTCTCTGGAGGGGTGGATCTCCTCGGTCCGGCTGCACGACACCCGAAGCTCATCTGGAAGTCCTGCGGGTCACATGCGGGTCAGATGATGCAGAATAACGTTCTTATGTTGTTGTTTTTTTTCCCTAACTTTTCAAAACTTGAACCAAAAGTGTGTTCTCGAGCACCAAACACTGTCGTCCAATGACTGTCCAGAACACACTTACAGTTCCTGTGTTAGCGGCCGCTAAGTTAATAACTAACGATCTTCACAACGGAAGTGAATCAATCTAAACTACAATAACTTTATTCTATCCCAAACACACTCTGTGACTGTGTCCTCCTGTTATCTCTGTAACGCCGCTGTGGAAGAGTGTTAAAGTGTGTATAATATAGACCCTTTTTCAGTTGGTAAACATGGTGATATTTTTATGTGGAGGCAGAACGATCCCTCTGGCCGCTTCACTAACGCGAGTTAGCAAGGATTGTTAGCTTGTTTTTTAACAATGACTGGAGAAAATCCGATATGATCTTAATGTGTGAGGTCACTCAGTGTCCAGGACCGCGATTGTTATTTCCAAAAGTTATTTTTAACGGACAGAACCAGATTGGCCGACCCGTAGCCGCCTACACGCTCACTCAATGATGGACGATCTGACAGGATTAACGTACGTTACCTCGAGTGAGTGGCCTGACTTCTACACCTACCTCATAGAGAAACCGATCGTAAAGAGAAACTGAGGCGTATAAATCTTTAGATGCTTATATGGTCCTGTACAAGACTTGTGTGTACGATCCGCAGTTCTGCCGAGACCACGACAATATAAAGAGTGACATTACAGTGCGATTTTAATCATGTGAATATTTTCTAGAAATAAAAGTTCCAGATACAGCATATTCATTTTTCATCAATTCTTGCACCAAACAACACAACAAGATGACATTTAAAAATAGTAACAATTATTTAAGCTCCTTATTATGTAGCCGAATCTGTGCTGGTTTGTATTGGCCGCCTCCAGTTTACACTTTGTTTTGCCTCCAGCTAGCGCCGTGACGGAACTGTGACGTCGGCGCAAAAGGGGTCTATAGATGAGGGAGACTCGACTGGTCATGTGACCTGTACCTGTGTGTAGCTCCTCTCAGGTGTTCTGCTGCCTCTGAAGAACGGTGTGTTCCTGTCGGGCCACGGCTTCTGGACGGCCTGCGACGACACATTCCCCCAGCTGACCGCTGTGAACACACGAACACACACACACACACACGTTTAAAGGCCCATTCACACCAAGAACAGTAACTATAACAATAATAATTACATCAGAATCAGAAAGAGCTTTATTGCCGAGTATGTTTGCACACACAGAGCTTGTTTTGGCGACAGAAGCTTACAGTACAGATCATAAAATAAAGATAAATGTGAAACACACACATATGTGTGTATATAATAACTGTAATTGACACTAACTGTGAGGGGAATTATCATGATAATGAAAACTATGATGAACGACTGTTATGATTATAGTTGTGCACTTTGATTAATGTGATTATAAACTTTATGGTCCCAGATATCAGTCTCGGTGTGAGCGAACACAAGAACCCTGATCATGTGACAGACGCTCACAAGCGTTCAGCTGAAAGAGAGATCTTACCTGTCATGACGCCAGCGTCCACAGCCTGCAAACACACACACACACACACAGATCAGAGAACAGCAACCGTAATAATCCTCATTTAGCATTTTTAGATCACACGCACTTAAAAACACACCCTTCCCTCACAGGTCAAAATGACCCAAAGCCCTAAAATTATACTTCATTTTTTGGTGTGTCCAGAAACCTTATTTTACTGAATTTTGAATAATTATTTTATTTTTTTTTTTTTACTTTTATATTACTAGACTTGGTCAATAAATAAATAGTCATTTAAGCACATTGCTCACATTCTTTTATATTTCCCTTATAATTCAGCTGTAAATGTCCTAGATTGAGTGTGTTTGTGGAATGATAATAATAATAACAGATGATATTTGCTGACTCTAGATGGGCTTATATCTCTATATGAGCAGAGGAGCTCTCCCGCTGGGTCCGAAAGCCAGTTCGCCTCACACACACACACACACATGTAGACTTTATAAATATTTTTTTTGGAAAGTTTTAGCATTAATAGTTATAATTTTGAGCATGTTTAGTGTTCTCGGTGCGAACTGAAGCATTCACTCGTTCCTGGCGGGGTCAGACTGACCCGAGAGTGAAGGGTGTGTTACTTTTTAAATATCAAACACAAAACTCATCGAATCAATTCAACATTTTTTTGTGTATTCGTGGTTCAAGTGTGTCTTGGACCCCCTGATGAACACTTAGGGCCAGTTGTTCAAAGGTAAACTGATCGGATTTTGGTTATCGGATTGGATCAGATCTTGAAAATGGGTTGTTCAAAGGGGAAAGAAGGAATCTGAAATCAGATTAGATCAGGGAATCCAATCCTAGTTTTCAGTTTGAGTTGTTCAAAACTTGTCAGTGAGATTTGGATAACTTTGATCCAAAAAAACAGGATTATCCTGATCCCAAGAGGGGTAGGATTTCAAGGTGGATATCAGGAAGAAAATGTAGTAAAACTTGGTCAAATAATACATTTGTATCATTTTAGATATATACTTACCTTTATATTTTGCACTTGACTTGTGTAACCGTTGTAACGGTGATAAAGTAGACATAGGCTAACAATTAAGCTATTCAGTATAGTAAAGTAAAAATAAAATAAAAATTATTTTGTCCCCATTAAATAATCCCCCAAACAGATTTCAATAACAAACAAAAATAATATATTCATTTTTCGGTCATTCATCATTTTTTAAGACGTTTTCAAAATGTATTTGTTAATGTATGTTTGTGGGTCATAAAATAAATTATGATTAGAAGTGGATGTTTATGCTATTTTCGTGTTTTTTTTCTCAAAATAAGAAACACTTACAGTGAGCCCATGTTGGCTCTTCTACCTGTTCTTAGCCCACATTGTGATATGTTGTCCAATTTAGAGCACTGGTAATCTTGAAAACTGTGTATCTGGATCAGGGTGATCCAGTCCAATGTTGCTTTGAAAACCCGGCATAAAAGTAAGACGGATTACCTGATCCTGGATAGGAAAAAATGGGATTTCCAAATCCGGATCATTTTGATCCAGATTAAATGTTTTGAACAACTGGCCCTTCATTTTTAAAAGAATTTAGATGTGATGGATTTGGCGTACCGCCGCGGGTGTGTGTTGATTGGTGGAGGTGTTGTTGGCTCCCTGGTTGTGTTTGGGACTGCAGTATCCGCTGTCACTGTCGATGTCGGCCTCGCTGACTCCCTGCTCACTGGACGACTCCTGCTGCGACGTGCGCCTGCGTCGAGCTTTATTACTCCACAGCTGAGGACTCGCCTGATCCGACACACACCTGACCGCCCCGCTGCCCGACGCCTCGCCGGGGAAATCTGAACACACACACGTTTGAATGAATCTCTATGACTCACTCATTAACAGTGACTCGCTGCTGCCACCTACTGGCGGTTTAAATTTCACATTTAAAGTTTACTTTTTAAAAATAGTTTCAAAATATCAATATTCAACACTTTATGTTTAAAAAAAACATCAATTCAGTTCACATTTATTTGTATAGTGCTTTTCACAATACGCATCATTTCAGAGCAGTTATCTGTTATTATCAGAGGACACTGTCTAAGTTATGTATTTCGGAAATGTACATATACAAAATCACAGTTATTTAAACAAAGTAATTAAGACAAAGGGCTCATTGAAGTGATGCATACTTGATTAAATGATTTATAAAATCAAAACAATGCATTTGTCAAACTGCAGGTTGCATTGACGACCCTCTGAGCTGCATTATACAGTCTGTGTAAACGTACTTCTGTACTTTTGCTATTTTACAATTCTATATTTTTTGTCAATATCGCAGTTGGTCAAAGGTCAAAGGTCATCACCTGTCTGCTGCGCTGCGTCCACCAACAGCACCGTCTTGGTCCTCCCATCAGGCCCGGTCGCACACACCTCCTTCTGCACCGCCACGCTCCGCATCACGGGACGCTTGGCTCTCATTGGCTGAGCCATCGGCTGCTGTGAGTGATGCAAACGACACATCAGGGTTAGTTTAAATCAATGAAACCTACAGTCACGTACGTGACCTTGAACCCCAAAACCAGTCAGAAGGGTGAGATTCATACATCATAGTTCAGTAAACAAGAAGTTAATATTAAGTGACTTATATTTTAGACGCAATATTGTCTGTTTTTGCGTCTGAGCAACACACGGCGGTGTTCGCTTACTGAACGAACGAATCGTTTGAATTGACTCGTTAAGACTGTCTCAATTCGCCTATTTGTACTACACACTAAAAGTATGCTCTCTTCATGTAAAGAACAATTGTCAATCATCCTGTCACTGTACACTGACCTGTCAATCATCCTCCTGTCAATCATCCTGTCACTGTACACTGACCTGTCAATCATCCTCCTGTCAATCATCCTGTCACTGTACACTGACCTGTCAATCATCCTCCTGTCAATCATCCTGTCACTGTATACTGACCTGTCAATCATCCTCCTGTCAATCATCCTGTCACTGTACACTGACCTGTCAATCATCCTCCTGTCAATCATCCTGTCACTGTACACTGACCTGTCAATCATCCTCCTGTCAATCATCCTGTCACTGTACACTGACCTGTCAATCATCCTGTCACTGTACACTGACCTGTCAATCATCCTCCTGTCAATCATCCTGTCACTGTACACTGACCTGTCAATCATCCTCCTGTCAATCATCCTGTCACTGTACACTGACCTGTCAATCATCCTCCTGTCAATCATCCTGTCACTGTACACTGACCTGTCAATCATCCTCCTGTCAATCATCCTGTCACTGTACACTGACCTGTCAATCATCCTCCTGTCAATCATCCTGTCACTGACTTGACCTGTCAATCATCTATACACTGACCTGTCAATCATCCTGTCACTGTACACTGACCTGTCAATCGCAGAATCACGTTGATCTGCAGTTGCGTGTCTTTTATGACTCTCCTCGTATTAATGTATAATGGTCCATTTAAAAGTTAATTTAAAAAAGTAATGATCCATTTAAAAGGATTTTTAGAAAAGTCCACATTGTTATTGCAAAGGAAATATAATACATTTAACATTAAATAAATATTTTTTAATCAGGTTTAACTTTGATTAATCACCGTAGTTTGCACATATCCATCTTGTTTTATAGTTTAACACTTTAACTTGTGTTTGAGGTTCCTCCTCCAATGCGAAAAGGGTTGTGGGTAATATTAGCCGTTATAGTCCGGCCAACTCTTCAACACACTGTTTTGGGACACACTTATTCTAATCTCACACACTGTTTCGGAGAGATATGGACATTGGGATGCAGGGATAGACTCAGTGACTGACAGGGACTCGCTGACACCTACTGGCCGTTTCAATTTCACATTTAAAGTAACTTTTTATTTTTTACGTTTTATTTAAAAAAAATTAAAACATTATTTCTGCATTTGTAACTGCAGGTTAAACACACACAAAAAACATATATTAATTTTGTTTATTTATATATTTATATATATAGTGGCTCTGGAGAAAACCGTGATGTCATCGTCCAGTTCTCATGTAATGCTGTCAGTGCAGGACATCAATAATACTGATGAATATTACATTACTTGTGTGTGTGTGTGTGTGTGTGTGTGTCTCATACCTTGTGCAGGACAGGTGTTCGTGGGACGCCTCTCCCTCTCTGTGGCGTTGGCCTGTCACTGCAGTCGGACACGGGGTTCAACACGCCGGCCGGTACGGGCCCCGCAAACGGCCCCGGGAAGGGCTGGTAGAAGCCCATGACGGGCGGGCAGGGCGTGGGCATGATGGCGTGGTAGTACGTGGCGTAATCGCTGGTGACGGGCGGCTGGGGCGACGACAGGATGGGGTACGCCAGGTACGGCCCGCCGGGGCTCGGGTTGAGCTGCTGCCAGCGCTGGTCTCCTCCGTTATACATGGGCAGCTGCCGACTGAACACAAACACAGCACAGCTAAAACAGATCCATTATAAAGCAACACACAAACACTCATACACAACACACAACACATCCAGTTTCAACATCTCCAGAACCGTCTTTAACCCTTGTGCATCCTTGTGGACATTTTTGTGCTTTTCAGTTTTGTTTTTTTGATCACTTTGCCTGTGTTAAAGCTAACGGCAAAAAACTTGGCACAGGTGTGTATTTTTATTGGAATTTTACTATTTCACCGTCATTTTTTTGCATTAGGTACAAAAAATACTCCCTCTCAGCACCTTTTGGACAAAAATGTCCCCATTAAAACTGCCATTTTTAATCCCCGGTTCAGTTAACTATAAAATTATGCAATCTTTGTTAAGAAGCTTTCATTCTGATGGCAAGGCTTCAAATTTTATTTTTTACTATTTTTTTTTATCAGATGGTGCCATTTTTTTTTTTTTTAAGTTTGGCCTATAAAACAAATATCGCTTTATTCCTGTTTTCTGCTTCGGCATATTATAGAGCCGACTGGATAAATTATGCAACGATATTTGTGTGGGTGTGTTGGTATGGATGTCGGAGTGTGGTTAGTATGTGTGTTATAAAAAAATATGTGTGTAGAGAAAAACTGCAAATAACAAATCCAATCACTGTGAGCTCCAGTGGGGTTTTGCTGCCACCCAATGGGGAAAATATGTTACTACGCCCAAACAAACTGTTACCCAAAGCTCATTTTTTGAGATATCATCCTCAAATTTGGAACACAACCTATTTAGATTTATGGCTTTGATTTTATTGCAGTTTTGAGTTCAACCTGATTTATAAAATATATATTTTATGTTAAATATTTTTTTTATAAATAATTTTCATAAACTTATACCTATAGAACTTTTTTTGGATTTACTTATTATTATTTTTTTACTTCAGCAATAATCTGCAAAGGGTCTTCTTTAAAATGATACCAAACTTAAGTCTGTGCTCCGAAGCGTCACATTTTTATGACAGTTTTTTGACACGGACATATTTGTCCTCTTTTTACCTGTGTGTAACTTTTAACAACAAGGGAGAAAAGAGGAGACAAATCAACATAAAGTTAAAAAATGAATGTCACTGTTTGATTATTGTTGCAATGTTAGTCCCTTAAGTGTCCGAGTTAATACACAAACCAGTTTGAAGCATCTACAATTAGTAGTAATTAAGAGTAAAATAGTATTGAATTAAGAGCTTTTACAAAGTTATAAAACCTATTAAAATGACAAAAAAACAGACAGCCATAATCATATTTCTTTTATAAAAGAAGTACACGTGTGTGTGACTAGAAACACCTTCGTTTGTGCTGTGCATTGGAGACAGCGGCTGGAAAAACAGCAGAATAATGCAGGTCGCATGTTTGGCGAGAGGTTTGCTCATGTCTTTGCACAGCGATTGATTCTGATTATTGGAAATAAACACATGATTGATGCAGACGCCACCGTGGCCATGGGCTGCTGGGTAAGACTGGCCATCAAGACAAGACAAGGGGGTTTGGGGCGGCACTAGTGTCTGTTGGCGGACAGGGAAACCTGTTTGAAAACAGTCTCTGTTTATGCCATTACATCTGGTCACACACACACACACACACACACACACTGTAGCACAAAGTGTGCACTTCCTCCAATTCAAAGTGAACAGGAAGGAAAAGCAGCAGGATCCATTGGGAATAGAGGCGATCCCACACACACACACACACAGCCATCTATCCAGCCGTGCACATGAGGTCATGTCATAGAATTCTAATGTTTTTATATCAATTTAATTAGTTATAAACACAACAAAACATTTAAAATTACTTATTTATGAGCATTTATTCCAACTTCCTGAACGTCACCTGAGGGAGGAGGTCACATTTAACTCATTTCTGAACAAAATGCTCTCCTCAAACTCCATTAAACACACACACAATGAGTGTGTGTGTGTGTGTGTGTGTGTGTGTACCTGTTGCTCTGGTTCTCCTGTACGAAGGGGTAGCAGGTGATCAGGTAAGAGGGGATTTGTGTGGGCTCAGCTCCACCCTCACCGCACAGACTCATGGGTAATAATGAAGCTTCAACACCTTTCTTCTGAGGGATAAACGGTTCCACTTCAGCAGAGAGCTTCACATCCTAAAACACACACACACACTTGTGTATTTAGACACAAAACACTGCATAACAAGGCTAACGTTTCTGAAATGTTAGTTATGTTCATGTATTATTAAATGTTTATTCAATGTTCAGTACGGTGAATAAGACACGAGAGCAGACATGAACCCAGTCCAGCCCAGAGTGACCAGCACACACACACACACACACCACAGATCTGTGCTATTCACACACTAGCGGTTTGATGCAAAAAACACACTGGCAACAAAAGTTAGGGTTAGTGTGTGTGTGCGTGTGCTTGTGTGTGAGTGTGTGTGTGTGTGCCAGTGTGTGTAGAAAAGCATCATACATTATGTAAACACAGAAAAATCAAAAGTACTCCAGAAAAATGTAAGAGTGTGTGTGTACATGTGCGCATGAGTGAGTGTGTGAGTGTCAGTGTGTGTAGAAAAGCATTGTGCATCATTGTAAACACAGAAAAATCAAAAGTACTCCAGAGATCATGCTTGAGATCTCTAAAAGCGTCATCAGCCTTGTGTCGTACGGTTCATTTTATGTTGTTTTGAATGCCCTACTGCATTATGGGTAATAAATCAGTCAGATACAACACGCTGAGCATGGTTTCCTCCTACAGATGTGTGTGTGTGAGCACAGCATACTACTAATATCTTTTTACTGCAGAAAAAGTATGGTTATAATTCATTCTGAATTAGAGATGAGCCAGATGTCACCACACACACACAGGTCGGTCACATGTCTTACGGCTGAACACGTCTGAAGCGCACAATCAAATGATCAAAAACATGATCCTACAGGCGAGTACATGACAGACGTGACATCTCTGTCCCTGTTATTCCAGAACGGCAGCTCAACGAATCAGCGAGTTTGCTTGCAGGTCATGTGACCGTGACGTCATCACATGCCACACATTCTCAGGTGAACACACTGCAATTCCTGCAGAGAAGCTCGCAATCATGTCACCGAGCAGGAAGAAATCATTAAACAGATGAAACACGTCACGGCACAATCTCTACACAACCACAGGAAAATGATCCAGTGTGAACCCGGTCGGATGATACTCGAGGTGCAATGGTGACGTTTCTCTCTATTTGGCTGGTTGTGGGTCATGATTTTTCTGGGTAGAGTATTTTTTTTATTAATGTATGGTTGTATCCTCAACATTGAGCAGCACATTCAAGCTTATACCAGAGAATGTCTAAGTGAAGAAAATTGGCACTGGCTGCAGTAACGCGTCTCTGTCCATGCGGGGGCGCTCGCGGTCGAGTGCAGAATGAATGGGAGTCAATGGGGTTTCACCCCAAAAAATCCACGTTTCTCAGGATGTCATTTTTTGTCAAGTAATTTGAAAGTTGCATTCAAAAGGGAGGGCTAAGAAAATACACTCAGCTGAAAATTTCACTTATCTGTTCTAAATATCCGTTCATAACTGTGATGACGTCACACAATAGCAGAATGCTAGCGTACTCCGGCCAACAACGGCCTAACCTGTAAGAAATCAAAAGGACATAAGTACTCGTTCATTCGACTTTTGGCCTATAATCTATATTGAACTTGCGGAATCAACCATAAAATCTATGTTGATTTAACGACAAGCAGGTGAAAGAGACACTTTTAGCCGTTTAGCCCCATAGACTCCCATTCATTCTGCTCTCGCTCATGATCACCTCCAGTGGAATTATAATGGAACTGCAACCAGGATGACACACAACGGGGCTAATAGGAAGTGCCAAGGCTCTCCGTTAGACGGGCTCTGATTATACAGACTTTTAACATAAAAACAGCATGTTTGAAAGCAGACAGGCTAAAGTCAACTAAAGCAAATGCAACAATTATTCCCAGGCCAAAGATAGAAAATTCTGCAGGAATATACATACATACATACATATATATCTATATATATATATCATAAACAATATATTGGCTGATGAATCTATAATCAATTTTTATATAATTTTTAAGAGCCTGATTACAAAAACAAGAGTCTCATCATTAAAAGTCACGTCCCAAACACACAATTAAAGTTCTATAATTAATTCTGTCAATTTTATGTAGACTATATGACAGACTTGTGTTGCATTGAACTGTATTGTGCTTTTTGAAGTGATTTCAATCATATTTCAAGATATTTAAATCCATCATGTTGAACAGTGCGCATCTGAAGCATCTCGGCTGGACGAAACCGTAAGTTATTTATCAGCTTTAATATATCGGCCAGATTCTCTACAGATGAACACATATATCAGCTGATGCCGATATATCATGCATCCCTGAATATACATACAGTACACATGCCTTAATTTTATTTCAAAAATACATTTTTTAATTAAAAATGATTGTGCTCCATCTGGGCAGTCTCTAAACTGTTTCCATTCCAAAATAGAAAAATATGCACATTCATTTTCACAATATCTACATAATGTTGTAATCACTGGAAAAGAACGTAAGAGCGCCTTACATTTAAATGAATCTAATCGAAAAATGTAAGCCATAATCATCACAATTATAACAAATAAAGTCTTGAAATATCTCACTTTGCATGTAATGAGTCTATATAATATATTAGTTTCAGCTTTCAAGTTGAATTACTGACATAAATGAACCATATTCTCATTTTGCAGTTTCACCTGAATATGTAATAAAAACGTCATTTCTTTCTCAAAAGAACTGCCCTCATCCAAGATACAATACAATATATAAACCCAATAATAACAATAATAATGGAATGGAAAATATATATAAAAATATAATAATGACAACATCCTGATTCCCTGATTAAATACACAGTCATTGTGATCGGAAACAAAGACACATCTGATGCTGTGTGTGTGTGTGTGAATGGAGTGTGTGTTATAGTAAATAGCAGCGATTGTTCGTCTGTAGGTGGTGGGCGGAGCTCTGTACACTCTTCCGATTGTGATGTCACACACCATCTGCTCTTTCTCGTGTCCAATCAGATCACCGACAGCAACATCAGTCCACGCTGCTAATCAAATCTCCAAATGTACACCGTCCCATCGCTCTACACTGCTCAGCGTGATGATGATACACATTAACATCACCATATTCCTCCGTAACTGGGATTGATTTGGCTCAATATCACGTGACCGTACAAACCTATGTGATGTAGGCGTCACATGATCATCAGGGATTAAAGAAAGCCGACGTTAAGCTAATTACACAAGCATGTTTGGGCAGATTAATACACTATCAATACACACACTAAAGTGAGTCAGAGTGAAGCTACAGAGATAAACACACGAACATACAACATTGGACCCCACTGACTTTCATTTTATGGATTGAGACAATATCTTCTTCTGTAGGAGAAAATCACACCGGTTTGGAAGGACAGGAGCAAGTAAATGATGATTTTTGTGAGGACTATCCCCTTAAACGTGGCAAAGTGTGTGTATAAACCTGGCAGAGAACATGCAGAGCTCTCGAATGGCTGGAGATTCGTGAACGTGAAGCGAAGCTCGGCTCAACGTGGGCTGAACTAATGAGGGCGACGAGGGCCGCTTTTGTCTCTTCAGCATTTCTGTGTCAAGACTGTGTGTAGAAAACAGAGGGTTTTTGTGCTGAAGAAAGACAGGACACACAGAGAGAGAATCACTATGGGTCAAGTTGCTTGACCATTTTTAATCTTCTGATGCGGTCTATATGGTTTATATTGTCAATTTTGCATCATTGATTCTGCTATCTTCCTGTTTATCATTGCTTTTATTGTATAAAGAGCTGTAGAAAAATAAAGGTGGTTTGTCTTTTAGTGACTCCCTCCATGTATATTGCTTGTAAAGATGTTTTAAGGACAGAAACTCGAACTCAACTTCCATAATAAATGGATCCAAAAAGTGGATCTTCATCATTACATTGCACTTAAGTTCTAAGTCCAATGAATATTCTAGATTTCCTGAACGATTAATCACAACCCAAATAAAAGTTTGTGTTTACATTACGTGTGTGTGTGTGTGTACTGTGAATAATTATTTTGTATAAATATACACAAATGCATGTATATATTTAAGAAATATCTGCATGTAATATAGTGACTCAAACCAGAACCTGAAATGATACTGAGGTTTCTGTAAAACGTCCCTAAAGCCGTCCCTAAAAAGTCAAATAACAAATAAATAAACTAGTGGTTTTGCATTACAAATGCAAATAAATTAAGATAATCACTCCAAAAATTAGGCAAATTGAAACCTTTTTGTAATTTTGGACCTGGACTTTGAGAAAGTGTGGGTCATCTCAAACAGGATCGCTCGGAGGACACAAACACACGTGAGTGACAGTTCTGAGAAACACCAGGAACACGAGGAGAAAAGCACAGAAACTGATCTGACTGACAGGAACATCACAGACGCGCGAGGAATGTGATCAATGCAGAAAAACCTGACGGATCAGATGCGATCGGTGTCTGCAGAAACCAGCTAAAACCACACACACACACCAGACCAAATAAACAGAGTACCCAACTCACTGCCACGAGCGTAACGAGGCGCTCTGCATTTTTTACTGATCGCCGAGAGTTGAAGAATGTTCAACTTTGGGGAAAACACACTTTTTACCCAGCCGTCCAATCACAGTGGAGGAGAGGCGGGACTAATACCACACCGACCAACTGACACAAGATTCTTTCTGTGCAACCGACGACATCCACTACTACAGCTAACTGAACAAAATGGATCAAAAATACATTTTTCGTATGAAACAAATTATCTGCGAAATCAGTTACAAGTAAACTGTGTATTATATTCTGTATCATAGCAATGAAACGTCTCAACTGAACAAAAAAGTGCCACAGCTCAAGCGCCCACAGCTAGCTTCAGCAGAGCGTCTAGCGTTTTCAGCTGGCTAAAAACGCTTTGATGGACACACGGCCTAAAGGCCGTTGCAGACTGAGTACGAAATATTTGTATGCGTATTTTCGTGTTCGTCAGCCTAAAAATTTGTCACGCACAAAAACCTTGCACACCTAGTCCGATGCGTATTTATTAAAC